ATAGATGCACACCTTACCTTTTTCTTTTGCTATTTGTCATCGAAGCCATGACCAAAATTGATTCCCAATGGAAACAGCCCATCTGTGATAACTCTGTCGGAACTGGGCAAGTTTCCGAAAAAGCGAATCAAATGTAATTTCATTCTCCAATTTTGTACTTTTTACCTATTTTACTGATTTATAAAATCCAACAGTGTAAGCAGTCGGTGACGCAGTCAGACTAATAAACCCACTACCCGTTAGTTATCATCCCATAAACAATCGCTCACTTTTATATGTGCGGTAAAATTGCGAAAGAGACACTGATGTTAAGCCAGTTCATCGTTTTATTTAAAAAAATTTGTCATTCACTGCTACAACAGACGAATGAGCAAATGAATTTGTAAAATGGACAAATTACAAAAAAATATCATTATATACAACAACGAAAAATCAAGAAAATTTTCTCAAAGACTATCAATGCTGAAGAATTTCTTCTTCTGTGATAAACACACCGAAACGGTCACATCAAACGAATGAAAACGACAGACACCCAAAATACATTTCCACATTTACTCAAATATTGTAAGATAACGCATTCATATGTTACAGCCTTGACGATACTCAGAGAGCAGACAATATCCCAGTATCCACGACGATCCTCGTAGGAGATCCTTCAGATCCTCGCGTTTCACTACTCCCAACCAAGATTCCTCCGTACCATTGGGTCGTCCAAACTTTTCAGTTCCTCTTGACGTTGTTTCAACAACAAATCCGGAATATATCTATAGTCTTCGTCCGTTTTCTCATGTTCCTTCACTGTCAACTTCACACCGACCGGTAAATGAGTCTGCAATGAAATCCGTGAACAGAACTCATCAACTACGAACCACACATTCCTTCGCCAATACTCCAAATCACACAACTCCCATCGAATCCTTGTCAAATATCCCCTTCCGAAATAATCCTTGCAACCTCACATCAATCGGAGATATTCCTTACCCAAATATTCCGATAATTTGAACTTGGTCCTTCGAAAGTGAATCAAAATTCATACAAACAAGCCCAAACACGAACACAATCAGTGCATCCATCAATCACGCTTTTCAACTCACATGAATGATCGATATGAAAAGTGGTAATCTGACAGTGGGGACATCCGCAAGTCGAATCCAACGATCGTAGGTAGCCAACT